GATAGAAACTGTTACAGAGGCCCCGCTGTAACTTAAATCAATTCACAAAATAGAAATTTATATTTCTATTTAACCAATCAACAACAAATGTCCTATTTTCGATTCTTAATCTGAATCTTAATCTTTTCTTTATTATTCTTTTTTTCCCTATTTATACTATACAACCCACACACATACACAAGAGAGAGAGAGAGAGAGAGAGAAAAGAAGCAAAGGAAGAAAAGGCATTTGCTTCTTCAACTAGACTATTTTGTATATAAAGATGATGGTGCATCATTCTATAAATGCACTTAAATTCCAGTCGAAGAAACGATGCCATTATTTACGTCGCCACGCACGGGGGGAATGAAGACACAATAGAGAGATATGCAGAGAGATGAAAGAAAGAATGAAAAGGAACGGTTGACGTATGTGCATTTCGAGTTCGATTGCACATATAAGAAATACATAACGTATAAAGACGAAATAAGAATGTATAAGAATAAATAAATAGATAACTTGTTAGAGTACTCTCCAACACCTTCGATAGGGTTTATGAAAATGCAACGTATGATACACCCTTTTAAAGTTGTTGAGTCGTATAAACCCTATGATAAACCTTTCGGCACGCGGTACATTCACTTGATAAACCTTTTTATTTCGTCTTTTGATGGGCAGATAAAAGGATTTATCGCATGCTGCTAAACGGTAGAAAAGGGTATATCATAAGTTGCATTTTCATAAACGCTTTAAACGTTTATCATTCGGCGCTTCTTTTTATCAGTATAGTGCAGAATTGTCTTTTCGTGAGTTCTGTATAAGTCGGTGATATAAAGAGTGAAAATCAGCCGGATTTATATTTACTGGTGTCGAATTTTGTATGGGATGCTCTGAAAAGTGTGGATTTGGGCAGATTTATGAGCGCTTTTGAACTCCGAATGTGCAAATAATCATAACCATCGTATGAATAGATCCGAATGTCGGATATTAGAAAATTTTTGATGGATTCGATAGAACCTTGGAGAAATCGGATGGTTTTTGTTGGTTGGATCCGTATTGGGATCCTATTGTTGGATTTTTAAAGGATACGGTGGGATCTCGGCAAACTCCTACAGTTTCCTATGAGTTTTTTATCGGAACTATCACCGATCGGAATATGGATGAATCCCAGTTGCGGATACTGTCGGAGTTCCTTAGGAAACTAGTTTGGTATCCGATGTGGATTTCATGGGAATTTTCCTAATGGGAATTTGGGTCCATTCGTGCTTTGGATACAGTCGGAATTTCTCGGTAATTGGATTGTCGGATTTGGAAGCTTTCCTAGATTAGAATCCTGTAGGATTCTGTATTCAGGAACTTATTGGAATCCGACCCTGAGGATCCAGCATCAATTCCTGAACCCGGAATCCGATAGGAACTGCGTTAAATCCTTGTGAAATCCGATAGGATTTCGTTGGTTTCCTTGCCGGATCGGATAGGTTTCGATCGGTTCCTATACTGGGATTGAACGACCTGGGCAGTGTAGGATAATTTTTTTCTATAAATTATTTCAATATAGAGCAATTATGTCGAAATCAGATAGGCTACTTGCGTACGAGCATGCTCGATAGGATTGGTTTCGATCGGTTCCTATACTGGGATTGAACGACCTGGGCAGCGTAGGATAATTTTTTTCTATAAATTATTTCAATATAGAGCAATTGTGTCGAAATTAGATAGGCTACTTGCGTATGAGCATGCTTGATAGTGAATAATTGTTCACCAGTAAACGACGGTGAAATAACATTCTGATCGTATGGTTTCGTGGTTGTCCGCATTAATTTAAACTAAGAAAATGACTAAATAAGCATATCTACGAGTAGTATGGAGACTGGTTCATAAGATATCTCGATGTAGAAGGTGGGCGTGGGTCTGAGCAGAGCTCGCGGAAGTGGGGGTGGGGGTTGCACCCCCTCAATAATTGAAAATTTTCAATTTTTCTCAGCAACAAGAGAAGATCTTTTGTAAGTATTGAGCTTTTTTTTGCGAACTTTGTTGCAAACACCCCCTTACACCCTCCCCCCAATATTAGGTCCTTCCAGCGGGCTCTGGGTGTGGGTGTGTGGATGGGACTGTATTTTTAACTCAACCACACCTATACACATGTGATATTATTGAAAAACAAAGCTGATACACGAAAAAATTAATTAAAATTTTTCTACCCACAGTGGTATCATATATTTTTGCAAACTACGCAAAAAGATGTAGTCATTCTAATGTTATAAAAACAAAGATTTTATTTCGATTTATTCTTTATTATAAAGCAAAAACAAATAAAGTGAGACCCCTATGCAGAAAAAATCTTTCTTTTTCATGCTTTTATTTCCCACTGATGTTTATTGACCTCGACTCATGCTGCTTTTTTTGTATATATATGTATGAAATCATGGAAAAAATTAATTTTTTTTTCAAACTTCTCGTTGACAGTCTCAAAAATACACCTATCAACGTTAGTATATTCAAGATATGGCAACTGCAGCGATAAATTCCAAACAATGTTTTATATGTAAAAAAGAGAAATCCAACTTATACCCATGTGGAGGCTGCTCAGAAAATTTTTGTTCGCAAGATTTACCAAAACATCATCAAGAACATGTATTAGAACTAGAAAAAATTGTCACTGATTGTGATGCATTCCAACAAACTATTAGTGAGCAACAGCAAGATCTC